GTATTAAGACTTAGGAGCATGACATAATTTTGACAAAGAAAAAACAATATTGCAAATAACATTAAATTACACTTGAAGTCAGGAAGTGTGGGCATTCAACAATTTTCAAATGAGATCTATTATTCACAAAAATATATAATCATTGAAGATATACAACGCATGGACATAATTTAGATCCTCAATTTGAAACTTGAAAGGAAACATATGACATTGTAAACTAATTACTGTCTCTCCCGAAATTATCTTCCTATTTTTCTTATTAAGTCCGTCCCAAAATTATCGCTCATTTTCTTCTAAGGAAGCATTATGAGGTTAATATTGTTTCTCTCTTCAAAACAACTCTCAATCACACAATTTTAATTTTTGATCTCCGTGCATAGTCAAAGTAGGCTTTTATTTAAAGACAGAGGGAGTATTTAAGTAACAACACGTACAAACAAACATACAAGACAGCTCATAAGATTTACATAATTAATTTTCACTCATGTCTTAAGCCCATTACCTCTAATAAATGATAGAGCATCCATAAAATGAGCTGCCAATTGAATTCTGAATTTCTACCCTATGATCAGTACACGATATAATTTGTTAGAAAATATGGTCAAATGGTCCATTTTAAGTATTTCCCTACACACACATACACACACACAAACGCCACCTCTAAGCGCCCAACTCCTATGATGAGAATTGGCCCAATATTATTGAGCCCCATGTCTCTAAAATAGCTTTGAACAAAGCCCGTACGAATCTCCCAGAGGGGTATGTTCTCGAGTATGATGAGAATTGGCCCAATATTATTGAGCCCCACCGGGAGGATAGGATAGGTTTTCATATTACTTCCTTAGAGGGTGGCATCCTTTTTCCTCTTCGCCCCCTCTTAGTTGAGGTGTGTCGCTGTTTCCGGATCCTCCCCGGGCAGATCACACCCAATGCCCACAGGCTTCTCAACTCCTTTGTAAATATCTGTCACCACCTTCATATTGATCCCTCTCTGCGTCTTTTCCTTTACGTCTTTGAGGTTTGTCCCAAGAAACCAAGTTGCGAAGGTTTCGTCTATTTCAAGGGACGGACCAATCGCAAATTCATTTCTGACCTTCCACAAAGCAACTGGTTGTGGAAGGAAAAATTTGTTTTTANATAACCTCCTCAAACAAGAATACACCAAACCGGCGACCACTCCCGACTTGGAGGAGAGTCTGGAGAAGCTTCTAAGGGGGGACCCCTTCACTGGCCAGAAATATCATTACGGGAGCTGGGTTTGGAGGGTCCAACCAAGTGGCGAGGGTACCTCCCAGGCCCATGAAGCAGCGGGGCACGGGGTACCCTCCCCGGGCAACACTGCAAAGGCCGAGGGCCAAAGTCACCCAGGTATCCGTCATTTCCTTTCTTCTTTCGTCACGTGTACCGGTGTCATTTCCAATACTTATCTTTTGCTTGTTTTGCAGACACGAACTTCAGGTCTTTCGACATCCCCAAGAAGACCGTTGCGTCTTCTTCTGATGTCCCACGTTCTTCCCCCCCCAAAGGATAAGCCGGTCCAACAAGAAACTGTTGAGATCCATAACGAGGAGGAAACTCCTCAGACCAGGGGGCCACCCAGGCCGGGAAGACCACGGAGAATCCTCCCCCCTACAAGGGGAAGCGGAAGACGAGGACGAAGAAGGTTGCCACCACCCATCCGTCGGCAAAGTGGAAAAGGGGAGAAAACGCCCCGGTTGCAAGGTCGCTGGAAGAGCTCAGGGTCAAGATGGGGCTCAAGCTGAAAGAGGTAATACTTGCCCGGTATATCTCCTCTTCCTTATCGTCTATGCACTTGAATTAACCCTATTCTTTCTTTCTTCTCAGATTGGTGAAGTGGGACCGGAAGCCTTGGAGCAGCTCGCCGAGGACTTCCCCTCCCGGTCACTTTAGCTAGAGGAAAAGCTGAAGAGGGCCGAGGCCCACAACCGGGAGCTTCAGGAATTAACGACCTGGCAGCTTGATGAGATGGCTAATCTCTCTAGGGTGGCCGGGAAGGCGAACGCAGAGATCCTCTAGCTGGAGGAGGAGAACTCGCAGCTGATGGGGGAGGTCTCCCAACTGAAAGTGGAGGCCCAACTGAAGGAGAGAGAGCTGCCCGACAGAGCTAGCCAATCGATGGAAGAGAACATCGTGGAAGCTGCCCGGGTTCTTACTTCATCCGAGGAAAGGACCATGGAAGGCTTCAAACTGCTGTACCGGGAGCCCCATGGGAAAGAAATGATTACCCAGATAGGCTCTTTTGGTTTCCACCTACAGTCCTCCCGGTCATTTGCGTATTTTTACCTTTTCACTTTCCGAATCAAGTAAACAATCCTAGACCCGGTCTAGTATAGTTTACCCAGTTAGGTAATTTACACCAATCAGTATTGTACCGTTTCGTTTCAAAACGGAATGGTACCGAATGGTTTTGGAGTTCATCACGTACCGATACCGAACCGTTTAAATAATAGCTGTCCTTGATAGGTTCCGGTAGTATCAGACCGACCGCGCCCACCCCTAGTTTCAATAGCAACAACCTATCTACATCTGCTCCTTTTAACCCTCTCTGCCGGCGTTTAACTCTCTCCGTCTTCAACCTTGCCACGGGAGTGCAAACCATCAGCGACAACACCTCTGACGACGGCCTTCCACCACAAGCAATTGGCAAGTAATTGCACATAGAGGCATATATCAGTTCTAAATCACGACTCCAGTGCGCCACGCCTAGACATTCAAAATGATTTTTTGTTGGGCCTCGATTCTGGGAGCTTCGTTTGAATCCCCACAAGTTTCACTCTTCAAGGCTATCCAATTTTGTGTGCGCTGAAGGAATCGTTTTTTCAGCCTTTGAGACTTTCTGATGTGATGGAAGAACCATCAAATCCAATATTCATGCTCTTCTACTTCAACTGACGCGAGTTCTTTTGCATCTGCTCTGAATCTAGCCCTTTTGCTGGCCTGCATCACCGCTAAATAAAGAAAGGGAATCACACGCTCAAAAGAGGGGAAACTGGTCATCCCTTGGTAGTACGACTAGTAATTCTCCCAACAAATTGAATGTTGGGGCTCTTGGTTTTTCAAGCACCCGGGCATGTAAAAGCGCCTTACTTTTTCTTATGAACTTGTTGATTTTTGATTGGATAAGAAAGCAAGAATGGAATATGCCGGATTTGGTAAGAACTCAGGTCCCACCGGACATCCTAGGGCTCAAAACCTGCCCGGAAGCTTTCCTCGCAACCCCCTCCCCACCACCTGACTTTTCCAAGTAAGCTTGTGTTTTTTAACTTTTTTAATGTGTTTTTAGTACTTTATGGGCATAAAGCTGTATCAAGTTTCATTTGCAAGGGTTTTTAGGAGTTGGGCGCTTAGAGGTGGCGTTTGTGTGTGTGTATGTGTGTGTAGGGAAATACTTAAAATGGACCATTTGACCATATTTTTTAACAAATTATATCGTGTACTGATCATAGGGTAGAAATTCAGAATTCAATTGGCAGCTCATTTTATGGATGCTCTATCATTTATTAGAGCTAATGGGCTTAGGTCCTGTATGGATAGAGTCTTGCATGTTAACCTCTTGAAGTAGTTGCTAAGCTCAGTAATTGCTTCCCATACAACTCTTAGAAGTAACTCCTTGAATCCAATGGGTAGTAGTCTTTGCATGAACACATGACAATCATGACTTTTCATGCCAAACATCCTCAACTTAGTTGGGTCCACGCATCTCCCTAAATTCGAGACATACCCATCTGAAAATTTCAATTCCTTCACCCAATCAAGAAATGCTTCTCGTTGGGCTTTATCCAAAGTGTAGCAAGCTTTTGGATACTTTCCTGTTTGAGGGTTACGCTCCAACTCTTTTCTGGAACAAAACAAAGAAATATCTTCCCTTGCCTTTGCATTGTCTTTCGTCTTGCCCTGTACATCCATAACAGTGTTAAAAACATTGTCAAAAACATTTTTCTCAATATGCATAACATCAAGATTATGACGTATCATATTCGTCTCCCAATATGGTAAATCCCAAAAAATGCTCATTTTCCTCCACCCGCATGAGGTATTCTTCACAATGTCAGAGTTAATGGCATCGCCATCTGAGTCTACTATCTTCCTCAGGCCTAAAGATTCAATCTCATGCCTAATATCTTTCCCACTCTTCTGAATCGGTGGTGACTTCATCTCAATTTGATTTATGATTAACTTTTTCTTATTCCTTTGAAAGGAATGGTCTGTTGGAAGAAAACGTCGATGTGTGTCGAACCATGATTGTTTTCCCCCATTAGGCAACCTGAATGACACGACTTGATCCATACAGATAGGACATGCTGTGTTTCCTGCTGTGCTCCATCCCGACATCACGGCGGCATGCATTTTGAAGTTTTGTTTTAACGAAACATCATAGGTGTCCACGCCCTCGCTCCAAAGACTCTTCAGCTCTGTGATTAGTGGCTGCAAGTACACGTCAATCTTCTGTTTTGGGTTAGACCTCCCAGGCACAATTAGTGACAAGAATATATGTTCTTCTTTCATGCACATATCAGGCGGAAGATTGTACGGGGTAATCATTACAGGCCAACATGAATATTGTGACCGAGACTGTCCAAACGGTTGAAACCCTCTGTGCACAGTCCAAGGCGCACGTTGCGTACCTCCGATGCAAAGGTAGAATGTTCAGCATTAAACTTTTTCCATGCTTCAGAATCGCAAGGGTGACACATTTCATCATCACTTGTGTGTCGATGATCAGCATGCCACCTCATTGCACTTGCTGTACGTTTAGACATATATAGGCGTTTCAACCTAGGTGTTAGCGGAAAGTAAAACATCTGTCTATTCGGAATCTTAGACTTCTTGTCTTTATAACGCGGCTTGTTGCAAACCTTGCACTGCGTGAGACTTTCGTCATCTCCCCAATATAACATGCACCCAAGAATGCAACAATGAATCTTCTGGACCATAGTTACAGAATTCGTTCCCAGAGCCGCGATTTCCGAATTGGTACGAGTCGTACCCAATCGCAAGTCGCCTGCGATCCGATCGCAACCGGTACGGCGATCCAAATCGCGATGGTATGGCGCTCCAATTTGCGATGGTACGGCGATCCAGATGCCCAGGTACGTCGCACCAAGTCGGAGAAAGTGGAGTACCAATCGCCGGCGGTCCAGCGATCCAATCGCGACTTCCTCTCTTCCGCGACCTTCCCTCTTCCAATTCGCGATTGTTCTCTCGCGTAAATTGAAAAGTTCCAATTCGCGATTGCACTTCCCCAAGTTTCGCGTGAGTTGTTCCAAGTCTCTGTACGTTTCGCGATTGTTCCCTCTGTAACTCCATACTTCTCTCCGAAAATATTTCTTTTTCCTAGGCAGTCTCCTTATTTATATACTCCCTCCGTCCCTAAATAAAGTTCCTCTTTCGTTTTTTCTTTGTCCCTAAATAAACTTCTCTTTTCCCTTAAAAAACCCTTTTTACCCCTTACTTTTTCATACCCTACATATCACATCATACCTTTTTACTAATAATCTACCTATCACATCTTACTTTTACACATCACATCAAGGGTATTTTTGGAAAGTCAACACAAAAATATCCCTCCCTTAAATCCTCAAAAAGTCAAAAATGGAACTTTATTTAGGGACGAAGGGAGTATATATTGTCTTACCCTCTCAAGTCTCACCACACAACCCAACCTAAAGTCCTCAACTTTCAATTGTTTCTCTATTTTTTCAATGGCTTTTGGCAAAAATAATAAAGCACTTATGCTCATCTTATCTATTTTTGTTTACTTATGTTTTGACTTTTGGTACGCCGAACCGAATAAATGGTACACCGTACCGCTTCGTACCGTTTCGTACCGAAATGAACCTACCCCCCTTCGTACCGAATTCGTTACCTCTAGCGAATTTCGTACCCGTACCGCTTACCCGTACCGAAACGTACCACGATTTATGTGACTATGTTCTGGACAAGGAGACCAAGATCTTCAATTAGCTTTTTTGTTTGATAAAATCCATCCACCATTGTGTTGTCTTCAGGTAGAGCGTCTTGGAGGAATTGGCAGAAGGTGTCATAACATCGCACAGATAAGTTATGGTCAGACTTGATATTTAACAAACGTGCAACTGCAGACAGCTTGGACATCTTATTACATCCTTTCCACAGATCGGTATAGCAGCTTTCAACATTTCAAAAAATTTCTTATCGCTCGGATTTGGCTCTTCCTCAACAATAGAGTTAACTCGAGACGGACCGACAGCATCAAATACCATGTCTGCATATTGTTCTCTACCTGTCTCATCAAACACGTTAGTGGCATTGGCATGACGAGGAACTTTACGTTGTTGGCGGGGAACCCAATCACCGTGATTCTCACCATGACATACCCAATCATGGTAATTTGGTGTGAATCAAAATCGGAGTATGTGCTCTAGCATCCTTGATGATGATCTAAATGTAACATTCTTACACTTTGTGCATGGGCAACGCATTTTCTTATTCGGCATCTTATACACATTCGGAATTGACACACAATACTTCACTAACCCTTCAACATTATCTTTCCATAACTCACTAACAACACCTTCTCTCTCGTACTTCTTATACATCAAGTCAAGATCTTCGAATGGAAGACTCATATTAACAATGCCTATCAATTGAAAGTCATCAAACAACTAAGTAAACAACCACATGAGATAGCCCATCAACTAAGTAAACAACCAAAAATCCTTGGTAATAATTGAAAGACAATAACCAACCATCTTTAATCATGAACATCAACCACAACATTTTACAAAAAAAACAATATCAAAAATAAAGTCCAACAAATAACAATCTCTAACCAATACCATAGTAATTTCACATAATTTGAACTCTAATTCCCCTAAAAAGCTCTTAATTTCATAAAAAAAATCATTTTTACCTAATTTCATGCCAATTTCAACCATTATTAAAGTAAATTCATATAATTTTAATTCAATTTAACCTAAAATCTTATCAATTTAACAAAAATATCAATTTCATCAACAAAAAAAAGTGAAAAAATAAAAAAAACCTTAAGGTGCAGGCAGAGGAGGAGGACAGCGGCTGGAGGATGAGGAGGAAGACGACGGCGTCTGGCGGAGGAGGAGGAGGAGGCCGGCGAGTAGAAGCTGACGGAGGACGGCGGCTGGCGGAGGCCGGTGGTGGCGGAAGAGGGCTGGACGACGAGGGCGGTGGCGGACGAGGGCGGAGATGCGGAGGCGGACCTTGGGAGGAGGAGGCCGGCTACGTGCGGCGGAGGAGGCGGAGATGGGGCGCGGGAGCTTCGGCGACGAAGGGAGGCGTGGGTTCCGGCGTCAGGAGGTTAGGGTTGGGTTGTGTTTGTGTTGTTGTCCCGTAAGTGAAGAAGGACCTATTTTAACTCAAACCTGGACTGCATTCCGTTCCGACCTGTTTTTGACCCGAAACCTGACTTGAAAACATTAAGTTTTGAACAAAGGTTTTGATGACCGAACCCGAAATGACCCGCTAAAAATGGGTCAAACCCGACCGAACCCGAACCCGACCTGATCGACCCGCTAAAGTTAGAATTTTTTAAAATCATAGACTATACTACTCATTCTTAGTGTATAAATTTATATTTTCAGACAAAATTTTAATGATATTACATAATTATCTTACTTTTTTCCAAAACTTTAAATTCCTTATATTGATTTATATATCTAAAAATTAATTCAGAATTTAAAGTAAAATAATCTAATATATTTAATACATTTATTTTGATATTTTAAATTTATTTAATAAACAATGTAAGTGTTAATATTAATTTAAAAATTTAAAAAACCAAATTCATAACCCGTTGGGTCGACCCGAACCCGATGACACTAGGTCATGAACATACAGTTCTCAACCTGAACCCGAATTGACCCGAACCCGAAATAACCCGAACTCGAAGTGATCGAACCTGAACCCGACCTGACCGACCGATTTGCCAGGTATAGCTCGCAGGTGTGCGACGGACCACCACATCCTGTCGCTGATATTGGTGGCGACGAAAATGTTTAATTTTGCGCTAAAACTCTGCGACGGTTTAATTATTGGTTTCCGTCGCAGATATTATCGACGTTACCAAATTTTCCGACACCCGTCGCAGATTTCTCGCAATCTGCGACAATGTTTTGTCCGTAGTAGATTTTTGTTGCAGTTTTGGCAATTTCTTGTAGTGATTATAAATATAGGAGAATACACAGGAGCTTTTACAAGGAAGTTGAGAGAGAAGGAATTCTGATCATCACTTCTGATGGTTACACGAATATTTATACTAAGCTGCAGGGGACAAACCACCGCTTGCCCACTTGAGGCACGTTCCTGGGTGGTTGGAGGTGATGGCCTTCGTCCTTTAACTGCTTTGTCATCTTGCGAGGAAGATTGTTCCCTTGTCATGTAGCACTCTGGATGGATTGTCCAAGCATCTCCAGCGATCTTTCATTGATCTTGGTCGCTACGGTCCAAGCCCCTTTGGACTCTTCTCTGCCGACGCTTCATAACCTTAGAAATCATACCGGGTGACTTCTGAAGGATGGGCTTCCTGAAACGGGTGATAAACGGGGTGATAGAGTAATTTGACCGGTATAAGTATACCGGTCAACCTTTGAGTCCACCAAACACTATTTCATTGACGACTTAGGTTTCCCATCTTGAAAAATTAACCTTGACCGGTTGGAAATATGAGTGTCTACGTTGACCGGTTCTAGGTGGAATACACCCATCAAATACCATACCCATGCTCAAATCGTGCTAAAAAAGTGAACGTACATTACTTAAAAAATATTGAACTTAATGTATAATTTTGTATAAAAAACACAAGAATGTTAAATAAAAGTATTGACTTCAAATTTAAACGGATCATAAACATAAAGAATAAAAGATAACGAGTTCAAAGTTAATTTTTTTTTCCAATTCATATAATATCAGAATACTAATAACTATAAAAAAATAATGCCAATAGTAATGATAAATATAATAACAATAATAGTAATGAGAGAGTTTAAAAGTAAATAATAAAATACGTATACACGGTAAGATGAAGTAGACAAATACTCCATAATTATTTGAGATACGTACTCCGTATATAGTGTTGGACGGTTTGGTCCGTGATAATCGGTTTTAAATATTTGTATCGCGGTCTCGTCCCATTTGATATCGGTTCGGTTTCGGTTCGTGATGAAAAAAATCAATCCCGTTTGAAAACACTATAAACGGTTCGGTACCATTATGGTGCGGTATGGTACCATGCTAGTTCGGTTTTTTTGCCCACCCCTAATTGAAACCGATTTTCCTACTAACCCTTCTCAATAGTTTTAATAATAGGAAATCCTCTAAATAGTCTTTTATAAATGAGGTTATAAATGTGGGGTTTTTATATTTAGTCCATATTTATCAAATATTAAGTAGATAATCCTTATTAATTGGGTATCATTCCACGTTTAGTCATCCGTCTATTTTTCCGTCTCCGTGCTGTTAGAGAATGACCAAACGTGGAATGGTATTCAATTAATAAGAACCAAGAAAATAATATTTGATAATATGGACTAAAAATAGAAATTCTCTCGTTATAAAGGACTACTTGGAGAATTTGTTCTTTTTAAGCACTTTTAATATAAAAACTAATAAATAGGAAAATGTATAACTGTATTTTATTTTGTACACCATAAGATGTCATTATACAATGTCATTTTGTCACAGTGCAAACTCGTATTTTGAGAAAAAACATGAAATTCTTATTTTGAGGATAGTTGTTATATTTACTCCTACTTTGGGTGATTTCGAATTACTTATTAATTTCTATCTCTTCCAAGAAAATTCTCATATTAAAAAATGAATCTTTTGGTAAATTATTTTTAATGATAATTTTGACTTTTTATATACAAACTACAATCATATTATTCATATACTTTTCATATTTATTGCTACCTTTTGTCCTGATTATTGGTCCACTTTTGAGTTTTGTCAAAATTGACAATCTTTGACCATGAATTAAATATAACTAATATTAAATATTGATACAAAAATAATTTTATTGGATTTATTACATAAAATGTTTTTAAAATATTATTCTATTTAATAAATATACTATATATATTTTGTTTAACTGTAGGTCAAATGTTGAAAATGGCTAACTTCAAAAAGTCAAATCTCGACAAAATACTCAAAGACAGGGGTAGTACTTTTTATATTAAAAAGGATTTTTAAAAAGTAAATTCTCCAAATGGTCCTTTATAACGGGGGGATTTCCATATTTAGTCCATATTAACACGTATTATTTTCGTGATCTTTATTGATTGGGTATCATTCCATGCAAGGTCCTTTTATAACGGCACAGAGATAAAAAAATAGACGGGGGACTAAACGTGGAATGATACCCAATTAATAAGGACTGCCAACATAATATTTGATAAATGTGGACTAAATATGGAGACCCCCCATTTATAAAGGATTACTTAAAGAATTTACTCTAATTTCATTGTCCCCTGGTTTTGGAAATTAGCATAAACGCCCTCTCTTTTTTTGTTTTTCTTCTTTCTACTACATTTTTCATAAATGTTACTCCGTATTTTAATTTTTGTAGAACTATTTTTTATAAAGTTTTAATAATCAAATTTTTTTGAGTTTGCAATAAAAATTAATTAAATAACAAGAATTAATGTACACTCCAATGACTCCATATCTTTCAAATTAAATATTTTTATTTTTTATCCAAAAGAAGTCTTTATTGGTTTATTTTCATAACCAAAAATCAATAAAATACTCTCTTTTTTACTAAAGCTCATTTCTCATTTTATGTTCATTAATTTTATGCCGTTATTTAAATCAAAATTAAAATAAGAGAAAAAAGAATAGAAAAGAAAATAAAGAAAACCAAAGTATATGCAAAACACTTTTAAAGAATAGGAAAAATTAAGTCGCCCATGAACGAAATCTTTTGCGCATTGGTCAAAAAATTTAATAATATATAATTAATTATATATTAAAAAAGACGTTACCCAGTGTTCTTTTGGTCTCGACGTGATTGGATAAAGTTATTGGAGTACTCATATGTACGGAGTAATTGTTTTTCTTAAATTGCACAGATACAAAGGCAATCGTATCCGCCACATTTTCCCGACCACATTCACTCCTTAAACCAAACTTAGAAAACCTATAAGTAGAAACAGATGCTCCGTATAAAGATCAAGCATTATCTCACACCCCTGTTTCTATCATCAAAGGCCGGCCATGGCAGCTGCAAAATTTGAGAAGACGGAGGATGAATGGAGGGCCATCCTCTCCCCCGAGCAGTTTCGGATCCTCCGAGAAAAGGGCACCGAGTAATTCCCCCATTCTTCCGTTTTTACAATATGGGTTTTAATCATTCTTCTTCTTTTCTTCACCATCGCATCTTTCTTATTTTCTTGCACTAGAAATGTGAATTCTGAAACGACAGAAGTGAGTTGCTTCGCAGGTTGCGTGGTACAGGAGAATATGACAAGCATTTCGGGGACGGCGTCTACAATTGCGCGGGCTGTGGCACGCCGCTCTACAAGTCAACGGCCAAGTTCGACTCGGGGTGTGGGTGGCCCGCCTTTTACGAAGGTCTCCCGGGGGCAATCACCCGGTCTCCCGACCCCGACGGGAGGAGGACTGAGATCACCTGCACCGCCTGCGGCGGCCACCTTGGCCATGTCTTCAGAGGAAAAGGCTACAAGACACCCACGGACGAACGCCACTGCGTGAACAGTGTTTCCGTCAAGTTTGCTCCTGCAAGTTCTTCCCATTCCTGAACTTCCTCTTTTGGAACTGAAAAAAATAATCTCTTGTTTGTTTTTTTGTTTGTTTGTTTGAGATGATGCTCTTCATACGCTATATGTCCATATATATGTTTTGTATTGAAGTGTGGTGTGAGTTGGTTACTTGGTTTAATAATGAGTTTATGAGGTCAGAATGTTATTAGAAGTTAGCTTGTACTCCAATGTCTCTTCTTCAATACTCTCCTGTCCCAAAAAAATTAAGGCTCACAATGGCTGAAAAAGGTGAAATTGAATAGTTTAATACGGACTATGAACCTGTCAAGGAACCAATTCAACCAAAAGCTCAAGCTTGTGGTTGTGGCCCATGAACAGTTATTTATATTCTAACACGCCCCCTCACGTGCAGGCGTAGTCTTTTTTTCGAGTCTTGCACGTGAAACCTTAATTTTTTTTAAACTGAGTGGCGCTGAGTTTCGAACCCGTGACCTCTTAGTCAACGAGGCTCTGATACCATGTCTAAGGAACCAATTCAACCAAAAGCTCAAGCGTGTGGTTGTGGCCCAGGAACAGTTATTTATATTCTAACAGAACCAAGCAAATCTGTTGTGTGCTTAAAAAGCTTGGCAAAGTAATCTGTTATTACTCCTTCTAAGTCTTCTTGAGATGAAACCAGATTCCCCTCTTTGTTTTCCAACTCCTTTATCTCATTTGTTCTTCTTCTTCTTCTTCTTCTTCTTCTTCTTCTTATATTAGCCCTCTCGTGAAACCATCTTGAGTTTGAGTCTCCAAACTTGAGGAAGTCAGCTCTCGCTCTTTGCCACCACATTATCTCTTCTTTTTTCTTCTGAGTTCATTTATCACTTGTAGGATTCGTCTTCGTTCTTCTGCATCCTGGCAACTTTTGAGCCTTCTGTGTTCATCTTCCAATAACTTGCACGTTTTAACCTTAGATTGATCATCCTTTCTTTATTTCTTTTGTTGAACCCCCAGTTTTCAGCCCCATATATAACCCCTTCATGCCGCTTAGACCCCCCTAAAAACTCTTTCCCTCCAGCCCCCACCAACTGGCCGTCAATCCCATGTGAACTCATGCCCATTTGGTCCAACAGCCCAATGCCCATAAGCTTTGAGAATGGTCATGGCACAGTGAGTGCAAGTTTATGCGGATAGACACATTCTCACTACCAAATTAGATGGTACTGCCCAATATACTTTTCTCTTAGTAGGGAACTTGCAAGTAAAAAATATTTTAAGGTAAATGTTACGTTGTTTTTGGAATGAACACTACGATCTATAGTGATTCAGAATGAACATGCTTCGGAATGAATACTACATTGTTTCGGAATGAACACTATGCAGTTCTGGAATGAAAATTATGGCGAAGATTTTGTTGATTTAAATTAAACATCATATTAATTAAAAATAAACATTCTATTGCTTCAAAATGAATATTCACCGGGTATACTTAACTCTACATATAGTCGTATATACAATATACATTCGCATCCTTAGGTCGGGTCACACTTGGTGGCAGGAGAATCACAGTCGCTTTACCATTCGCTTTTTACCCAAATGGTAGGATTTTATTTTTGCGCTTGTAGTAATTGTATGTATTAACAAGAACATGGTATGACTTTCTTTTTTTGTCATAAATAAATTTGACATTCAAAAATGAGGATTTTTTTTAGCAAATTCTCAAAGTGGTTCTTTCTAATAAGGTATTTTTTCAAATTAGTCATCAATAAACAATAATTACCAATACAATTCTTTGTGATTGAGATATATTCTCTCAATATTCATCTAAAAAAATGTCTATTAAATGACAATTAAATGAAAAATATTTTTATATTTTTCATCATCTAAACTATGAACAAATCTTCAAAATAGTTCTTTCAAATTAAGTTGATGGTCACTAGAGGAACATTGCCACACCGAGTAGGCTCACTGGCTCCATTTTGGGGAAACATTTACTTAGAAAATACTCCGCATCAGTTTGGAAAAGTACTAAATTATTAAAGTGCATTTCGAGAACATACTATAAGTCTAGATGATTGAAAATACCAAAACACCTTCTTTTTTACTGATATTTGATAGACATTTTCGGCAGAAGACTATTTAGAGAATATATCTCAATTACAAAGGACAACGTTGGTAATTATTGCTTATTAAAGACTAATTTGGAAAATAACTTATTATAAAGAACAGTTTTGAGAATTTACTCTTTTTTGAGTTGCTATTTTTTGAAGATGTTGTAATATCTTATGCGACGAGATTAGAAAACTTGTGTGTGAGAATTGAGATTGCGATATACCAAATTAGAACCAGAAAATGCAAATACTTATTGAGAGTTGTTTATTATATTTCAAACAAATTTCAGAATTGAAGTCTTTATCCTAACTACTTTTTATGGATCAAGATTAAGAATTTGTATTCGAGAGAATTTCAAGTTACATATACGGCTAAGAATTAGAATTACTTGAACGATTGAGGGAAAAATGCAAAAGAAAATGTTGAAGGTATGAACTAGTTCAGAGGGAGAGACATTGACTCATTTTGTGTCATTAAGTTGAGAAAAATATAAACAAACACTATATTGCAATTGAGTTAGGATCTCCATTGAGTTAATAACATTACTTTATTTAAGTTTTAAGAGCCTAATACCCTTAATTTGATAGTACATATGTTAGTACTCATTTATTTTTGGTTTTCCTTCTTATTTTCTTGTCTCCTCGGTCTCCTCTCTTGCTTTTCTAAATTTTCAACTCTTCTTACTTTTTCTTTCTTCAATAAAACTTTTCTACTCTTTCTCATTTTATACACCATCCAATAATCATATACTCCCTAAGTTTTAGTGTTTTACTCGTTAAACGTGTTTTTAAACTAATCCGTATTTTTTTTGAAGTACTCCACAAATAAATACGGAGTGAAATAAAATATAGGTGAAATTTACCTGCTCAAACTTTCAATGCATTTTAGTTGGGTGATATACAAGACAAGAATACAAGGAAAGAATGGCAATAAATACGTAATCAAATAAACGAGGAAAACAGAACAGTCGATTTTCCTACTCTCTCTCTCCGATGGTGCTTGATTCATCACACCTTTGATCGCTCAAACAATTAGCCCGAATCTGGTACGGATTCATCGAAGAAATCACGATTTTTTAATCATATTTCCTCATTTTCAATTCGATCCTTTACTGGAACGGAACAAATTTTCTCGATTTTCAGCTTAATCCTTTTGATCTATGAGCTGTTTGTGATTTTCTCACATGGTTGATGGGTGATCCTAGGTCGATTGTTTCGTTATTACATTTATTGCTCTGTGTGTTTTTCGTTTCTGTGGATTGAACAAATATATGATCGATGCTGTTGATAACTTTGATTGGTTCTTGTTGATCATGATACTTTCTGGATTCAACGGATGAGTTTTGTGTCATTTTGTGATTCAACAGTTTGTATTTGATCATTGGATTGATGATTTAGACTCACTAAGAGTAGATTGATTATATTGTAGATAGATAGTTAACATTTTGCTTCAAATAGCAGATTTTCCAGTGCTTTATATATATACAAAGTATATTACGGAGTATTTTTTTATAAATGTGGTAAATGGATTTATAAATTATTCAATCACATATGAAGTTCTGAAAGAAGATTTATATAGGTGAAGCTGAGGAATGGCATCAATGGTTGCAAAGGCGTGTACTACTACCACTACCACTCAGATGTCACAAGTTATGACACTCGCAGAAAATGGAAGTAGGAATAAGAGGAAATTCAGGGCAGATTCACCTTTAGCCGATATGAATAAATTTGTACCTGTCACTCAGAATGACTGCACAAGTTACGAATTTTCTGTGGATAAATTTGGAATTATCCCAAGTCACAGGAACTTCAATGGGTGTGATATGTGCGGTCTAAAACGTGACAAATCAGAGAGTTTGAAGCTTGAGCTTGGATTATCATGTGCTGTAGGGTCTATGGAAACAGAGTCAAGCCGAACAACAACAGAGGATGTTGAAGGTACTGAAGATTTCCATGATGCTGACTGGAGCGATCTCACGGAATCTCAGCTAGAGGAGCTTCTGTTGACGAACTTGGATGCGATCTACAAGAGTGCAATTAAGAAAATAGTAGCATGTGGTTATAGTGAAGAGATTGCAAACAAGGCGGTGTTGAGGTATGGGTTTTGCTATGGAGGTAAGGACATTGTGTCAAATATAGTGGACAACGCACAAGCTTTTCTCAAAAGTGGCCAAGAGATTGATTCATCCAAGGAGCATTATTTTGAGGACTTGGAACATATGAAGAACTATGTATTGGCTGAATTAGTTTGTGTTTTGCAGGAGGTTAAGCCTTTTTTCAGCACTGGTGATGCTATGTGGTGCCTATTAATATGTGACATGAATTTGTCACATGCATGTGCATTGGATGACCCTCTGTTTAGCTTTACCGGGGACGGGGCTTCAAATGAAAATTCATTGGCTTCTATTCGACCTCAGTTGAAGGCAGAGTCTAAAAGTATCCAATCCAAAGCTGCAAGATCTGGTCAAGAAGTGGCTTCTGCCTTTTGTGCTTACTATCCATCACTCACAGCTGACACTGCTTCAACTACCTATGGGCACAGCCCTCAGTCTGATGCACCTGCAGTAGTTCCACGTTCTAAACCCCATTCTTCTGTCCTCAATGGACTTGTCACAGAGCAAGAATGTTCAACTAAATTGTTTAGCACTGCTGAGAAATCCCTTACTGCAGCTGGAGTATCACATCCTATAGTTGCAGAGAAGTTTGTTAGCAGTAGAAAAAATTATGGAACCACAAAGAGGGAGTATTGTCTTAGACAAAAATATCACCTGGAGAAACACTTAAGAACATATGGGTCTAAAGGATCTAGAGCTGGAAAGGCTGGAAATGTTGGTGGGTTACTGCTGGATAAGAAACTAAAGGCTGTGGCAGACTCTACTGGATTGAGTATGAAGACTGCCCCTTTCAAGACAAACACGACCAAAGCCGAGGATCAGTTTCATTGCATCAGAAATCATAATGTCTCAACAAGCAATGGACTTCCTTCGACATCCATTTTTGGTTCAGAGGATCCTAGTGCCACCTTTACAGCGCCTATTTCAACTATCCCATATCTATTTCCTCAGCCGATTGAGACCTCTCCTTTAGTATCAGTTGCTGAGAC